TTCTTTTTTTTTTTTTTTTGTGCACATTGATTTAAACTTACTGCAGCCGGCTTACAGAAGGTGATTGTCCTGTTTTGTCTTCAACTTCTGCATTCAATTCTTTGTCTAGTTATGAATATATATCAGTGCTACAGCTACACAGTATGCACTATGCATAGTTGGGGACACCCTGGACAGGTCTCCAGTCCATCTCAGGGACACAGAGACAAACAACCATTCACATACTAACTCGCACTTGGGGACAATTTAGAGTCACCAATCAGCCTAACATGCATGTTTTTGGTCTGTGGGAGGAAACTGGAGTATCTGGAGAAAACCCACGCATGCACAGAGAGAACATGTAAACCACCCAGAATGGTCACTGGCCTTGAATTCAAATGTTATTTCTCATCACCTCTACATGTTCATACTGTGGGTCAACATGCCAGTAAGATACGTTAGGGTTGTGTAATTACACTTCATAAAGTAAATTATAAAAAAAGAGAGCTGTAAAGGGCACCAAAGGTTAGTAATGTATTTATTATCACATCCAAATTCTCCATTTTGCAGCACAATATGTAGAAAATATAATTTTTGGTGCAGATAATCAAGCGGTATTAGCTGTTATTCTTAGAATAACTCTGCTTCATTTTAAGACTGCTGCATATATGTTTTGTTATTACTTTTTTAAAATTTTTTTTTACCAGTTACAAGGTATTATCCTCTTATTGATACACATCCAAGTCAGTGCACAGTTCTGAAAATGTGGGCGTCATTTATTCTGTTTTTGCCAATAATTTCTCATTATTTCAGAAAGCCTACACAGGTGGGAGTAATTTGCAAAGAAATAACAAAACTGAAAACAAGAAAACCAAGATTTTATCGAAAAACAAACTTTAAACAAAAACGGGAACATTTCTGCAGCATGCTTTTTCAACCTTAGAGATGCATAGATTGTGTTTTATATGTAAGACTCTGTGTGAACAGAAACCTTTGCTTGTTTACAACAAAACCTCCGAGGGCACCTTCAAAATATTGTGTGTTTTCACAACTTCTAGAGAACGGGTGCCTTTTCTTTTTCTTTTTATTCTCCAAGTCTTTGAAATATATTTTATAATGCATACAACCTGTGCTGTGGTTTCATTCTTAATCTAACCAAAGAGCAAACTGAAAAGTTTTGGTTCCTAAACTATAAACTGTATTCTGTCTTAAAGTAAGAAATATTGCCTTTTGTACTAATTTTTTTTAATAAGGATGTTCAAGGTTCTGTATTGTCATTTGCATCACATATGGTACATGAGGTGGAACAAAATTGTGTACTCAAGGTCCCAGACAGTTACACCCAAAAATAGCAAAAATATAAATAAAGTATTAAAAAAAGAAACATTATACAAGGATCTAAAGTAAACACTAAATAATAATAATGTAATAATGTTGCAAGGCACATTTCCAAAACTTTTAAATCTGCTATTGATAGAAGTAATTACTTAAACATGATTAAGGATGTGTATAATTTCAGAGTTGACTCTGGGAAGGGGAAACTGATACCATTGTTTGTTTTTTTATCATTTACCCTTTATTTATCCAGGTAGTCTCATTGAGCCACGAGAACTCAATTTCAAGAGAGACCTGTTTAGGGAGCAGATGGGGGTTAAGGGCCTTGCTCATGGGCCCAGAGCGGGGCGAATGAGGGTGGAGGCAAGTGTGGGTGCTTCACCTACCCCACCCAAATTTTTGATGTTGTCTGTACCGGGGCGTTAACCGGCGATCTTCCGATCACAGGCCCACCTCTCTAACCTCTGCGCCACCACTTCCCAAGACTGATACCAAGACTGATTACAAATGCATTCAGGCTTTCCCACTGCACCACCGTTCACTCGTCAAAATGAATATATATATATATATATATATATATATATATATATAAAACTTATATATAACTTTATTTTCTGACTTACTGAAGTGATGAGTGATCAGCCTTTGAGTGACTAACATGATTTGATTTTTGTATTAAAATCATAATCCTGTGTATCATCAGAGTTTTATGTGATAATTTGTGTAAAACAAGCAAACTAACAAAAAAAAAAACCTAATAAAAGAGCCTCCATGCCATTAGCTTATTGGATTATGAATTTTAGTTTTGAAGTGTCATTTATCTTTTGACTTATTTGCGATTTGGAAGCTGAGGTGACCTGCAAGAGCTTTGATTTAATAACAGTAATGACAAAATAATCTACATCATCCCAGCTTACTGGGTTGTAGCTATGTCATCCAAAGAATAAATTATTATTATTATTTATTGGTTTATTCTAGTGGTTTTAAATCAAAGAAAGTTATTTTAATGTTGCACATTTTGTACATGTTCACACAGGAGTCTGTGTTCATTCGTACTCACCTGCTCTCACAGACTCATGTTCATGCTGCTGTTGTTTGGCGTATTGTTTTTGCACCATTGGTGTTTAGCCTATTCTTAGCTTAGCATATTTCTTAGTTCATATCTTAGATCTTAGTACTGTTCTTCTTTTACAATTTATACTTTTGTTGGATGCATCTGGGACCCTTTGAACACAATTTTGTTCCACCACATGTACCACATGAAATGTGAATGACAATAAAGAACTTTGTTCTTGTAAGTATTGACACTGCTTCTACTGAACATCACAAGAATCAGTGCTTGCACAGTGATTTTATTATTTTTTTCTTTCTTGTGCCAAAATTTTGCACTTAACACAGCAATAAAAAAAAACAGTTTTAAAGCTTAAACACTTAATGTTGCATGCATTGTTTATTCAATAGTTGTAAACATATTGAGTTACAGTGTTTTGTGTTAAAGTTTTGATCTTTCTGTGGGTAAAAGAACAGTTATGGTTTGGGTTGTTTAAAACTACCGCACGTTTCCTCTCGTTTGGTTAATCAAGCGGAGGCTTGTGTTTTTTGTCACTTCATCTCCTGCACGACTCCTTGGGAAATTTTTACGTATTCTTCCCACATGCGTGAACCGACGTGTGTGTGTGCTTGTGTTTAAGCATCAAGGACGTTCTCTGTTTGTTTGTATTTGTGTGTGTACTGGGCTGGAGGTATGAATCCAAATGAAATATTTTATGAACCAGTGGACCTATTAATTGTCCCCCAGGTGTTATCTTTGCTGACGCCTAATCTTTTCGAGACAACCTGCTGGGTTTGGTTTTTCTTTTCGTATCCTCTCTTCCTCCTGTGCTTTTTCTCATCACGGTTTCCTTCTCGTTTCCTCAAGGTGACCTCAGTCTCTAGACTTTTGCATATTTCTAAGACTTTTGTCCGGTACCATTTTGTTTAACCAGGATATGGTTCCTGTTTTGTCTTTTTAGTTTCTGTGCATATTAGTATGTCTAAAACGTTAATACTCCCTGTCAGTATTCTAAACTGTATTATATGGACCAAGTCACTAAAGCAATAAGATCTTATCAATATATACATGCACGTGTTGTTGAGATTTAATGTAAAGTGTTAAAAGTATTTTTGGTATTCTTCAATGCTATGAATTGAATGTTTGTCTCTGAATAAAGTGAAGTGCAGCTTTCAGCTCACCCTCAAATCAAGCGATTATGCTTTAACAAGCGAATGCCACACACGGATGCACAGTTTCACAGAACAAGCAGGGTGTGACATTGCCAAATTGTTTTCCTCTGAGCTCAAAAATGGCTAATATTGAATTTTAGAGCCTGCTTGGCTGGAGATAAAAGAAACCCCGATTTGCAAGGATGGTAATTTAAATGTTAGGAGAGAATAATTCACTTTTTTTTGTGGATTTTTTTTTTTTCTTTGGACGCCACATAATCTGTGGACAAATATAAATTTCAAAATGTGATTAATATTTGTTAGTTCTGCTAGTATCTGGAAGGCAGCGATACGGATATACTGGTTCGCCAAATTAGATTATGGTAATTGACACTTTAATGCCAGAAACAAAGAAGAGAGAGAATCCTTTAAAAGCAACTTTTATTTTTGTACCTACTGCACACAGCGCCTTTCAAAACCAATGCCTAAAAATATGGCAAAATGTATTGTTTGTTGATTTAATTACATTTAAGAATTTGAACGTTATTTTATTTTTTGATATCCGCATGATCCTAAATCCTTTGCTTACCTTTAGTATGTTGTTGTTTGTTTTTATTAATAACATTAGATTTGAAGTATTCAGTGTACAGGGCAGGCTTCTCACAAGTTCAGTTTCCTAGGAGCCATGGTGAATGCAGGTGTAAAATATATTTCCATGACCACCAGATGGTCTGCATTGCACAAACTTATAAATACCCAAATGTCTTCTTTTTAATAAGCTTTATCTCTGAAATTGTTCTCTTCGCAGTAATCTGCATGGGAAGCGGCCTGCAGATTATGCGGTGAGCCAGGAGATGTTGGAGATTTTCCAGGAAGCTGCTGCTGAAGGAACCCAGTATGCTAATTCTCATGCATCTCATAGCCCCTCAGCCACTCTCTCTGCGGTATGTCTTTATTAAGTAGTGAATAATCCTTTTTTTTTTTTTTTTTTTGGGCCTTAAAATTGGCAGCACCACATCATGGATCTCAGTACATTTTCATTCATGAGAATTCTTTAATTTTGTTTGTTTGTGTCCTGATTTAGGTGAGTGACTGTGTGAAAAGAGATCAGATTGTGGTGTTTTTGCCCACCAAGCTGTCGCAACCACAACAACATCAGTTGGCCAAACTAGAAGATCTTCTGGGAGGAAAAATGGTTGACACCTTTTCTGGCTCAGGTAGTGTGACATGCATCCTCTAGCAAGACCACAGATTTACCAGCCAGTTGCCATCTCACATTGAACTGTTTCTTGCCAAAAAAAATCTAACAGGTAGACAAAAAGAGGGTTATAGAAGTACATTTTGGGCTCACTTATCTAATAGATTCTGTTGTTTTGAGGTAGTTTCTCTCTAGTCCTGGTGTTTGTTGTGAGGATTATTTTAGAGATTGGAATTTTTTTTTTTATTATCTCAAATTATTTTTTGTTCTCCACACAGCCGTGCCTTATCGAGTTTACTGAGCAACATAGATACATTTGTACTGTAAACGCCAGTTGGTACTGAGCATTATCACTCACAAAGGTTCAACAGCAGCAGCAAACAAGTGCTTTTAGAGGCGTATACATCATTGTGATACAGCAGTCTCTTCACTGTTGCATAGTAATGGCTGGAAGAACACCAGAAAGCAAAAGTAATTGAAATCATTGCTCATAAAATGTTTGGAGGTGCTGTCAGCGTGATGAATACACACTAATGAAAAGCAGAAGTGCTTTTTGCCGGGTTTTTTCATCTTCAGCTGCAGGGTTGAATGTTAGTACTTTCACACTTTCTTTTTAACAGTTTTGCACTGGAACTTACAAAGTCAGTGTCAATGCAAAATGTACGAAGGTTTTACCCTGGAGATATCATTATATTCATTCTGCACTTGTCAACTGTGCTCACATGTTGAATGAAGAGGCAATATGCTTGCATTTAAATTTTAATTAACCTTTAATTATGTGCCCCCTGCTTTTTATAGCAGAAGCCGTTGGCTGGTCTTTTGTTCTGTTTCCGGGGACTGTTTGACAGTCTTACAGTGAGTTTACCTGGTCACTCACTAAAATACAGGCACGCTAACAAAAATAACTGTGTAGATTGGGGATGAAACAGAAAAATAAATCATGAATGGTCCTCAAATTATGTCAAAATTTGTGTATCAGCTTCATTGTGTTAATTTATATTGCAGAACAGTTACATTGTTTAATTCTATTACCCCTCTCCAAATGTATCATTTAACAAGCCGGTGTCCTCCGTTGCTCAGGGATTTGAATAGTGCATGTTTGTAGTTTTCAAGATGAGTGCTTTTCTGGAATGTTACTGGACAGAGAATGCAAATAAAACTTAATGTTTTTGTTTCAAGATATTAAAGTGTGTAGGAGTTACACTGTTTAGAAGATCAGAGGTAGTTTTTCTTTTTCTTGTCCATTAATCTCTGCCTTAAATACACTGCAAGTGCCTCTTGAAAAATCTGATGACGAGGAAGAGGAGAACAAGGAAGTTCCACTAGAGCAGCTCCTGAAAGAGTTCACCATTCAGCTTTTTTTTTTTTTCTGCTTGGGAAATTCCAAGCAGTCCACAAGATGGCTGACTGAGAACGTTTTTCCATCCACCCATCATCTTCCACTTATTCCGAAATCTGGTCACGAGGGCAGCATCTTGAGCAGGGAGGCTCAGACATCTCTACCTCTTCCAACTCTTCTCGGAGGATTCCAAGGCTTTCCCAGTCCATCCAAGAGACTCCAGTATACTTGTGTCATGTCAGCGGCGCGGAAACTGTGCGCACTGTCCGCAGAGGGTTGAAACTTTATACTCAAGCGTCCACGTTGAGCGGCTGCAATCAGCTCCGCAGGAAAGGCGCGTTTACCTTCGGGACAAATTGAGGTTGCCAATGGGTCATTTGCTGAAAGAGCTGGCAGCCCCAGCTGCAGTGGTGCTCTGTGTTTATATGTTGTTAATAAAAAGTCATAAAAAATAAAAAAATCAGGGAGTGCTAGCCCTGCAGCCCACACATCAGACCAGCCCACCAGGATATCTCCAGATCCCTCCCACAGCCACGCTTGATCTGATTTTAATTCGCTCGTGACAAATTCTTTCATTTCTCACAATTTCAGTCATGGCGTCAACGGACGAAGAGATCGCTTACCTCTTGGGAAAAAAACAAAACAAAACAAAAGGTCATTAAAGCAGACCAGGGATGAAGAAGGGAAATTTAATACATTGGTGTCGCATACAAAACAGTCTGTCGCCGGGCAGTTTATTGCGCAACACAGAGTACGCGTATGCGGTCGTAAAAAAAAAAAAAGCTTTGCACGGACATGCCCTGCGTCCGTCTGCTTTGACTCTAATCTTGTACGCGCGGACCTCCGTGGACTGACGTACGCCCGAGTATACTGGAGGCTATAGTATCTCCAGCGTGTCCTGGGTCTTCCCCAGGGTCTCCTCCCAATCGAACATGCCTGAAGCACCTCCCTAGGGAGGTGTCCAGGGAGCTTCCTTACCAGATGCCCGAACCACCTCAACTTGTATAGTAAATTCTGAATATAGTGCAATATACTTACTAAAGTGGGGCGGCTATGGCTGAGTGGTTAGAGCAGCCGTCCTCCAATGGGAGAGTTGGTTCAATTCCACCAGCAGTCACATGTTAAAGTGTTCGTGGGCAAGACATTAAACCCCTCATTACCTCCGATGTGTGTCCCATCGGTGTATGAATGTGATAAAGCACTGATTCTTTGTATAGATATAGCAGAGTGCTGTATGAATGAGTAAATGAGGGCACAGATTGTAAAGCGCTCTGAGTATCTTGATCAGATAGAATATGAGTACAGTCCATTTACCATTTAAATTACATTTTTCTTGAGATTGTTTTGCCTTCTTTATTGTAAAGGTTGCAGACAACCAAACATTTTGGTGGACAACCAGATTCTGTCCACTGGACAACCAGAACAATTTCCTCATGTCTACCTCCACAAATGATTCAGGCGTCCAGTTGCATAGAATTAGTTTATTTACTTAATATTGTATGAATTAAATGTATTTACAGATTTGACAATGCTTTATTGATTCATAATACTGTATATGTTGAGCCAAAGACAATAAAGTCTTGACTGTGTGTCACTGAATCCCTTCTGAGCAAAAATAGAGAAAAATAGAGTTCAAGGTTTAAAACTTTTCGACCTTACAATAATTATTAATTTATGTTTTTGCTGCAGTTATTCTAAATGGATTATATAAAAAAAAACCAAAAGCATTACATTTTTGTCTTTGTAAAACAATTCCCCTGCGTGGATGGTTTTAGTCTGTTTTTGTACATGTTTTTATTTTCTCCCCAGTGAGCCATGTTGTTGTGCCAGAAGGACAAATGCCCACCACCTACTCCACCCTCCTGGGTATTCTGGCGGGCTGCTGGATTGTCAAATACAGCTGTAAGTATGAAATGAGCTGTCAACTGGAACAGTTCTCTGTGGGAACTGCTTTTGAACTGGATGTTTAAGCTGCTGCTAGAACATGAGAAACTTCCTGCTACAGTGACACTAACGCAGTGTCATTGCAATTTTTTTTAATCCAAATCTTTAAATACACAATCATTTAGATCTTGGAAAGAAGGGTTATATTCTAACAATAAAGTGAACATACGTTGGGTTTTCTGTGCCAGCATCTAGTTTAGTTTAGTTATGGTATTATTTAAAGTTTATTTTAGCAACTAAATGGAATTAGTTTAGCACTCTTCTCTATCTTTGCATGAGCCGATCAGTTGTGAGATTCATGCTGCGTTGAAGTTAAACAGTTGAACCTTAAGAGAAGTGCTCTGTCTGATAACGCCTTGATTGATTTTCACAGAGCATCTGGAGAGAGTGACATTTTTAAGTTCATTGTGTTGCACTGATCGCTGTAGGCCGATCACTTTAGGGTTAAATTTGAGTGTTTGGAAGCCTGAGGTTGGTTTTTATTTTTATAGCCTCAGAGGACACAGCACTTGCTTCCTCCTCAGTATGAAAATGACCTTTAAAGTGGATGTTGTACAGACCCAGCTCTTCAACAAGCCTAAACTGTCTGGTCTCACAAAATATTAAGTACCTGCACCCTCTTAGTTGTTGCTTGGCTCTATCTCTTTATAAAACAAATATATATATGTCTGTGTTACAGCATGATCAGGTTTGGCTCATACCAGGTATGTTGTGGAAATTTCAGTTGGTTCTGCAATTAGAGCTAAAACTTTAGTGTTAAAATGTCCACGAAGGTGATGGGTACAAAGCTTCATCCTTCAGATTTTAAACCAAGAACAAGTTTAAAATAAATTCTTTCAAGCTTTAAATTACTTCTTTTTTTTTTTTTTAACATAATTGGAAACTTTTTGTTAGAGAACAAATTTGTTTCCTGTTTTAATGCCAATAATAAAAATATTTCCCATTAAAAATTAGAAAGGCATTTTTTAATCTTCACACTGGTGCTTTTTATGCAATATAGGAAGTTATTTACCATAACATTAGTAATGATTTGGAGCACAGTATGTTAAAGCTGTTAACTGGTATTTTGTATCACATTATAGACCAAAATACTGAGTTATTACCATACCGTCCACATGTTGGTACAAGGTGCAGGTTAGGGTTAAAATGTATAATATATTTTTAGATGCATCCCAATGCATAGACGATAAAATCTAAATAAACTTCAAGCCAGTTATTGATTTTGTTCAACTTTATCACAATTGTGATATTTTAGAATATTGATGATATCCTTTGTAGTGTTTCCCCTAGATAACTTGCTATGGCTGGACACTCATATTGTCTGTGACTTTTGCTGGGGGGGTGGTAGAGAGGAACAAAGACATGTGACCTGCGCTCTGTTCCACCGACAGTTATCGAGCGGGGGGGTCAGAGACACAGACACATCTGAGCGTGCTGTTTGTACCCACAGTTTTCAGAGTCAGAGATTCTTTATTTGTCATTCGCACCACATGTGGTACATGTGGTGGAGTGAAATTATGTACACAGGGTCCCACTTACATCCAACAATAAAATGTATAAGAAAAACAGTGATAAGATCTAAGATATGAACTAAGAAAAACAACTAAAAATACACTAAGCACTAACAGCATAAAAACATTACGTCGAACAGCAGCACGAACATGAGCATGAGTCTGTATGAGCAGATAAGCATGCATGAACACATCAACATGAAACAGATCAGCAGCAACATGATGTGCTTTTTTTTCACAGTGATTAATCTGGTTAGAGATTCATGAGTCTAACAGCCTCCGGGTAGAAGCTGTTCCTCAGTCTAGTGCTTCTACACTTAATGCGCCTTAACCTCCTTCCTGAGGGGAGCGGGTCAAAAAGTTTGTGTGCTGGGTGAGTGGGGTCCTTCATGATGCAGGTGGCTCTCTTCCTGCATCTGGAGGTGTAAATGTCTGTGATGGTGGGGAGACTGACTCCAATAGTCTTCTGTGCAGCCTTCACCACTCTCTGCAAAGCTTTTCTTTCTTTTCTTTAAAAAATGTTTCTTTCTTTTTCTTTTTGGGAGGTGGTGTGGTTTCATCGTTAGGGAAGAGGCAGCGTGAGCGCTGTCTTTAGCTTCTGCCTTTAGTTTTTAGCTAGCACACCTGTATTGTGCGCCGCTAGCTTAGCACTACGTCAGTGCTGACGGGTGTGGGAGGTGCTCCCAGTTCAGTTCGGTAGGTGGGGCGGGGCGCCCCGCTTCTACAATGGTAGCGGAAACACTGCGTTGTGATAGACCCATATGTTCTGCTCTTACAATGTTTACACCACTGTCCATGTGCTGACATTTGGAGCTCCTTCTGGTTGCCAAATCTGTATTTTTTTGCGTTCAGTTTTGTGAAATTTTGAAAATAATTTTATTGCAGTAATATTGATATTGCACACACTGATACTGTGATATATATATATATATATATATATATATATATATATATATATATATGGATGGATGGATAAATGGATAGATGGATGGATGTATGGAAGTATGGATGGATGTATGTATGGATGTATGGATGTATGGATGTATGGTTGTATGGATGTATGGATGTATGTATGGATGTATGGATGTATGTATGTATGTATGCATGTATGCATGTATGCATGTATGCATGTATGCATGTATGCATGTATGTATGGATGGATGGATGGATGGATATAAATGTTTGATATAATGTGCATCCCTAATTATTTTAACGTTGACTCAAAGCCCACAGAATAATAATCAAATCTTGACATGCCACAATATTTCATTACCCGTCATGGGATTGAAGCTGATTTACAACCAATAACGTTTGGTACTTTCTATGGTGTTTCAATCACAGACAAGCATTAAGGAAGGAACTTTATATCTACTGAGAATTTTGTTGCAGTTATTTATTTCATAAAGGACGTTTGATGGGTTGTACTGGACTTCTTAACCACAGTGCATAAATGGATTATGGCGTCCTCTGTTAGGTGGTTTTATTTATTTCTTCCAGCTGAGTCATGGACATTTTAATTGCTACATTTTCCTTGAAACTATTTTCTTCTCTTGGTAGCTACTTTGACATCTAAACTTAAAAGAAAACAAAGAAGCTCCTTTTTTTAAATTAGCTGCGTTGAATGAAAAATGGATGTGTGCGTTTCCTTCACAGTACTAAAATAATCTGGGACACCTGCATCCAAACTTTGTACTTCCTCTCTGCAAGCAGGTGAAATCAGCCTCCCTCTGTGGAATAAGGGTTTCTAAAAGTCTGCTGTTTCATTTCATGCAGAACACACATTGCCCTGGGAAACATTCAAAGAACATTTTGCAACAGGCAATTTTCAGATCAATACTTTGTGCCTCCTGCGGCGTGCACAGACTCCTGCTCATGTTTGACAGCCAGACGAGGTGGATAGATGACAAGGGGATAGAATCTAAAAAGCAGTGCCCTCTCAAAGCTTTTATAATACTAGCAAAGAAAAAAAAACATAAAAAAAAAAAAAAAGATAACTAATTTAGCTATTCTCATCCCATCATCTTTAAGCCCAGCCAAAAGTTACAGATATTCTGAGGGAGTCAACTTCAAGCAAAGGAAACGGAGACTTGCTGTCAAAGAGTTTTCTGGCACCTTGGCGTGCCCTTTGCTGTTGTATTTGTCTGTAGCATCACTCCACTGTGTGTGTGTGTGAGTGTGTGTGAGTGTGTGTGTTTGTAGAGCACAATGCCAGGAGCGCCAGTGCCTGCCAGCACGCCGTTTCAACTTTGAATGTGTGTTCTGTAACATTTTGTGCATTTGGACCATATTCAGACCCTCTTCTCCATTTTTTTTTTTTTTCTTGCACGCTGCCTGAGCACTTGACACATCTTCACTCCCTCCTGACAGCCACTGTGCATTCTCTCTCTTTGCACTAGTGCACGTGTGTGCAGCTGACGTCTCATTGTCACCTGACTTTGTCTCATCTAGGCCACGTGTGGAATTATGGAACCTCTTTAAGCAGAATTATGTATCGTTAATTGGATTTTTCTTTAGCTTTAATTGTTTATAATGCTTTAAAAGGTTTATTTAATTCAAACGCTTTAATTGAACGTCCTTTATTTTTTGAGTACATAGTGTTGTAAACCATATAGTCATTTATTTCCTGTGACAACATAAGAGCAGAAATGTTGGGATTATTTTAAGTTTAACTTTGCTTAATATGAAGCATATAGGCCAGGGAAAAAGACTGATAATGCACTTGTTTATTTGCTTTATTTGTTATGTGTATAAGCAATCCATGAGATTTTGTATAAAACCATTAAATTCAAGTATCTTATTCTTCGTTCCAATTGTCTACTTTTTCACTGCAAAGTGGCTAACTCATCTCTACATCTCTGTTAATTTGAAGCACTGCTTAAGATTAAATTGTAACTTTTCAGGTTCTGCAGAGTGTACTACAAGTTGATGATGCAGTACATTAGAAGTTGTGTGCACTACATATTGACCATTATTCATTGCAGCCTAACATTTGCAGCTCACTGCTGGGATTTTTCTTACGGAGTTGAAAATGAGGTCAGTAATTGCAGATGTTGCAGCTGTAAAGCAGCGTGTCTCTTCCTCTACGTAAGCCTCAATTTTTAGTTGTTCAAGCTAGACCGTAAAACTGGTAGGCTAATGTACGTCATAAAGCTTTTTATTTATTTATTTATTTATCTTTTTACTATGTGCCAGAAGGCTATATGTAAAGAGCTGAGAGAAAAAATACAACAACAACAAAAAACACATAATTTCAAACGATTGTTTGGCTTTGGCATGGTTCTTTATTTTTTTATTATTATTATTATTTTTTATTTTTTTTTTCAAAAATACATCTGGATACCTATATGTTGATGGAAACTCTTGTCACTGGTTAAATCACAAGGGATGCGTTTTGTAAGATGTTATTCTTCTCATCCGAGGAGGTTTCTGCTCCCAAAAGTGCAGAGATCATAAAGTTAACATTTATTAAAAAAAAAAAAAAAAAAAAAAGCTTTTTTTTTTGGGTGGGGGGGGACTTATTGGTTTTAATAAAAAAAAAAGTTCCTTGGATAAGTGGCAAATCTAAAAAATAAACACACATAAAAAGTCAAAACAGCTCTAATTTTCCCCCGTCTGAACTCTTAGCTTTTCAGTAGATGCTCACAGTAAATCCTGTCGGACACTTTTGCACACAAGCCCCAAAAATGTTCAATTTTTTTCTGTCTCATACTGACTTTTTGTTTTAGCATACACTGCATGTGGACAATGCATTTATAGCGTTTCTCAACTGTTACATTGACTTTAGAGGTAATTAAAATAAGTTATTATTTTGTAGTCCTGATACATTTTTACCCTTTTGTTCCATTTTGTAGTTCTACTTTTCTCTAGCTTTCCTAAACAATTTGTGGCTTCTACTCTCCTGTTGTCTGGGACAGAGCATTCTTAGTTCACAAAGTCAACTCTTCTCTTTTTAGCCTCCAGTGAGATGATGAACAAGGGTCCTGCCCTATAGTGGAACAGAAGACCCTGCCAGAGGCATGGCTGCCAGGAATTCACCCCAGGTCTGCTCTCTGGGGTTGTGTTCACTGTGTAGGCAACTCACATGTGCACCTCAGATTTGATCATGAATCCACAGTTGTTTTTTTTTAAGCAAAATGATTGGGTCTGTGTATCCGAACACCACCTACACCATCTACATGGTTTACTGTGATAATGTCTTGGGCATCAATAATAGTGAAGCTACACAGGCACGAACTGCCTACAAATGGATATAAAACCTATTTCTGAAAGTAAAGTTCTTGTAAAATAAATTATATATGTATAGGTTTTCTCCAGGCTTTTTAAAACCAGCTGCATTTTTCTTTTTCTCATTTTATTGGCATGTATTTGCGTATTCCATATTGAAGTATTTGTTTTTAAAACTATCCCAGCCATGTGTATGGTATTTTATGCTCTTACCGTGCTGATGTAGCTAAATTAACACTTTGGTCACTCACATTTGAGGATTAAACTTAAACTTGACGTTTGCATTATAATGAGGTCCGTTCAGTTTAATGTTAATTGAAGAGGAGGATTCATCTTACCACTCACTTATTCAGTAACTCTTGGAAGGTGGGAGTTGGAGATGTTGAACTGGACAAACATAAAAATGCTAATACGTCCTCAGCACTAAGCACCATTGTCCGGAGCAATTAACGTCATTATTTTATTTATTTATTTTATCCCAAGCCTTTGGCAGGTCCCCATGAAACAAAGCCATAATTAATTGGATTGAAGAAATTTAATCACACTACCACACCATTGCTGGTTGCTGCAGATATGCATGCATGTGATTTGCTTTATTGTGGCAGGGTGTGTGTTTGCACACATTTACACCAATTTGCTCGTGTCTCCTTGCAGCAGCTGGGAGAAACAGGAAAAAAAGCCGCAGCATAATGGCTGTGGAGGTGATTGTGTGTTGAAATGTATATGTGGTGCATGGATATAATGCTGGTGAAAAGTTTCCCCACCCCGATTCATAAACTGTGGGTTTAGATTTTCATAAATCATTAGATTTTATTTTATTTTTTAACATTTTGGGTTTTCAGTAACAAATCAATAATTTATTGGATTCCAAAACGTTTGTGGCATCGATAGTTTCCCAACATTTCTTGTATCTGCGTTATAAATGGTTAAAATAATGCTCTTGCTTATTTATAAATGCTTTGGGTTTATTTGATATTAGAAAGCTCTCTTGTCTTATTCTATGGAGGAAAATAAAGTCAAGGTAAACACATTTTTATGCATTCCGATTAATAAATAAACAGTAATTTGTTAATTAAATTGGTTGACAGGATTGAGCAAAATCAAAATCACTTTGTTTTCACCATAAACTGTTGTTCAATTTTTCATTTGCATGTTTGAATTTCAGCTTTAAACATACCCTGTGTGAACTTTATCTATCTATATATGAATATTTCATTTGAACAGTGTGGTTTAATCAAGTATTGAATAAAAAATGCATGCATTTGCAGTTATTTGAGAATATTATATATATATATATATATATATATATTTTTTTTTTTAAATATAAATCTGCTGATTGCATATCTCACTAAAAATACTACATTTACATTTTGTGGATTGGAAGTTTGCACCACAACAACACAGTACTTGGGAACAGAATACTTGCTGGGAACAGCAGCTCTTTAAACCAGGACATGTTCACAACCGTTTTATTACTGACACTTGTTTAAAATATGCGTTTAAATAAAATCTCTCAAAAAGAAACAAGAACCGACTGTCACTTGGTTCCAGTTTGACTTCCTCATGAGACAAAGAGTGATGATGCTCATATTCTGCTTAATACTTACAGCAGGGATTGCATTGTTAGCTCCTTCATGCTGTGGGCATCTTTCTGTCAGCAGCTGCAGTGTTATTATTATTTTTTTAACTTCCAACTTGAGAAAAAATACGTGAGCTTTGTCGGCCTCTGTTTACAACAGCCTTGTCACACTCTTTCAAGTCAGGTAAGATGTAGCTTTAATGTTCTGTCTCTCTTTAATGGCAGGGGTGAAAGCATGTCTGCAGGCAGGGGAGTGGCTGCCAGAAGCTGAGTATGAAGCAGGAGAAGGCCCTCAGCGCAGTCGCATCAACAAATGCAGCTTGGTAAGCTATAAGCACACAGATGTGAAATTAATAAAACCAGACTGTATGTATAAATCCACACTCTAAGAAAAAGTTTGCTCTCCTTGGCATCGGCATACCTGACTATTATCACACTATTTGATCAAATTTTTAACAACTATGTCCATTTTAAATGTACCCATTGTCAGATCAGTCTTGCTATGCAGCATCTTAATATATGTAGTATTCATATCTTTAAAGGGCTTTTTTTTTATCTGCTGAATTTTTTTTTTTAAAGAAAAACTAAAAGGTGCAGAAAAAACAAAGCTAAGTAATTGGAAAACAGCTAAAATTGGTGCTAAAATTATAATTAAATAACCTAAAAGATATAAAAAACTACTTTTTTACATTGGCCAAGTCGGCCTCACGACTGCAGTCTCAACAAAGACACTTCATATTCCTCCTACAAGAAAAAAACTTTTTGTTCTTAAAAAAAAAAATAAAAAAAAATAAAATTAATAAAAAAGGATACACATGCACTCAAGCATAAATGAAAGTGTAGTTTAAAAAAACAACAACAAAAAAACAACAACCTTGAAGCTCAAGAAAACTTGCACCCCTCTAGAGTTCATTATGGCTTTGAATAAAACACTCTCCAATTACCTAATTCTCTGCTGCTTTGAACATCAACGCTAAATGGTTCAGATTTTGGAGAACAAGGCTTATAAAATTATTTCTATCTCTGCAGCAAATAACTAATAGAACAGAACGTCCACACTGACACCTAAATCTACTGGTAAAGAAAACATCTGAAAACTGAATTAAGTTGTTAACAAGGAAGACTGTGCAATTTTGCAGCTAAAAATAGAGCTGAAGTCCGTAAGCCCTATTAAGAGTTTTTAATTACCTTTTAACCGTTAGTTCAATAAACTCTGCTGTTTAAATGCTTTTAGATCTTTCTGCTGCCTTTGGTACTGTGGACGACAACATCTTGTCATGTCTTGAGCAGGTGGTTGATATCAAAGGCACAGTTTGATTCTGGTTTAGATCAAACATGACTGACAGGAGTTTTTCCCCTTTAGGGGAATGTTATTCATATGTGTCTCTTCTGATCTGTGGGGTCCCTCAAGGGTCTATTTTAGAGCCACTGCTTTTTATCGTTTCGTGTTGCCTTTGGGGTCCATTTGTAGTAAATATAACATTTCTTTTTATTGCTTTGCTGATGATATTCAGACGTATCTGTCCTTTAAGTCAGACAGAGTCACTCCACTGGAACCACTCTTAAACTGTCTGAACAATATTAAAAAGTTTGGTTGAAACTAAGTTTCCTGAATTTAAATGAAAATAAAACAAGGCATCAGCTTTAGTAAATGCAATGCCCTTGACACTCTCGGCCCCTTGGTTTCACACAGCCACTCCATTGCCAGGAATCTGGGAGTTATTTTTGATAGTGCTTTTAAATTCGACAAACACATAAATGCCGTTGTGAAACTCAGTTGCTTCCAACTAAGACTCATTATCAAGGTGAAGTCATGTCTCCTTGTCAGTGACCTTGAAAGGGTGATTTATGCTTTTATTACTTTTCATTTGGATTATTGTAATGCTTTTGAATGTTAGTTTAGATAAATCTTTGCATCCTTTACAAACCATCCAGAGCGCAGCAGCTCATCTTTTAAAGCAACTAGAAAACATGACCACAGAACCCCTGTCCTGGCTTCCTGTTCACTCCCGCATTGATTTTATGATTTTATTGCTTGTTTTAATACATTTTTTAAAGGTCTGACCTCGTCTTATTTATATGATCTGTTTAACATCTACACTCCAATAAGAGCACTAAGGTCTACCAACCAGTTTCTTGTAGATGTCCCCATATCCAAACTGAAATCCAGTTTGGGCAGACCTTGTGACCGGAGCTTCATGTAACATCTGTGTAAGCCTGCTTTCGATTCTACGCCCGCTGCAAGTAAAACTGGGTTGAAAAGATCGTGTTGTATTCTCAGTGTGGCTTATTTGATTAATGAGATAATGATAGGATCATTAATCTATCCAACAATAAATAAATTGACACTGACATTGAAGTTGCACTCTGTCTTACATGTTTCTGTGAGAAAAGATGTCTTGTAGTTCTTTTTTTTTTTCCCCAAACTTTTGATAGAAATTGGTTTTTTTAAATAATCAAACCAAACAAATCAAGTCAAACAAACTTTATTAATGTATGAAATTTGTTTCAAAGCTCCCACCGCTCTTCGACGGCTGCTTCTTCTTCCTCCTCGGCTCCTTCAAGGCTCCAACCAAAGATCAGATCACCAAGCTGCTACGAGAAGGAGGCGGACAACTGCTGAGCCGCCAACCGAAACCAGACAGCGACGTGACGCAGACTCTGGACGCAGCAGCCTACCACGCCCAGCCAGGCTCCGACCAGGCCCTCTGCACCCAGTACATCATCTATGACCAGCAGGGAGCTTTCAGGCCTGCAGTGGTCAGACGGGGGAAGGTGTGGTCTGCTCCCTCCACCTGGGTCATTGACTGCATCGCAGCGTTTTGCCTCCTCTCTGTGCCAGACCCCAGTTAATGTCCTAATCCATTATTACTAACCGGAACAATTATTTCACATTCAGTTTTGTTTTGTAACCATTGATAATTAAGTTGATTGGTAACATAATTTGCATATTATATAAAAAAGAAAGAGAATTATGTAGATTTATTTTAGTGCTGTGTTCTTTAATAGGAGAAAAATGTAGTATATTTGTTTCTGTGTGAAAGTTTGTCAGACAATATATAATATGAAGCAACTTGTTGGGGCAATTTAAAAAAAACAACATCAGTGATTTAAACATAAATAAAACCATGCAGCTGCACACATTTTTCAAACCAAACATTATTCTACATGTGTCTTTTTGAAATGTTGCACAGTTTTACCACGTCTTAACTGACTTAAAGTGTAAAGTTGGTTTTGGACAATTTTTTTATGCACTGAGGATGGTGACAAGATTTTTTTAAGTACACATTTATCAAGTTTTAAAGTTAATAAACTTAAATATTTGAGGGCCATAAATTAAGATCAAACTGTTTGCAAGACGAGTTTTGCTTTTGAGGAGGTGATGTAACTTGTAAGCAGAGCAACAGAGATGCAATATGATTTTTGGCATTACATAAATATAAAAAAAGTAAATGAGTTTATATTAAATAGTTAGATTTGAAGGAATAATTAACGTTTAAAATCTGGAAACTAAAACAACTTACCATATGTTTTGGAGTATAAGGTGCACTTAAAATCCTTTAATTTTCTCAAAAATCGACAGTGAGCCTTATTTATTAATTCTGGTTGTGCTTACTGACCTCAAATAGATTTTATGTGGTACATGGCGCTCAAAAATCTGTCAAAATGTTTTAGTTTCACTTAATGCGCCTTATAGTCCAAAAACTATGGTATAGGCCATAATGCGTGCGTGCATTTGTATGCAGATGGAATTGTTAAATATAATTAAGTTATAATTTTATTGAACATGTTTTAAAATTCTAATGAAAACAGGTTTACAAAGCTTAAGCTGAGTTTGTTCACAAGTTGATTCTAAAAAAAAAAAAAAAAGACTGATCTCTTTGGATAACATTGATTGGAGACTAATTTCCAGACTATAAGCCGCTACTTTTTCCACACGCTTTGAACCCCGTGGTTTATACAATGTTGCTGCTAATTTATGGATTTTTGTTTTTTGACGGGCTAACGAGCTTCCTGCTGCCAAAACATTTAGTCTCGTCACACCCCGGTGCTCACATAGCTGCCCAATACACATCTCTCCTGGGGTGGGTGGGTCCTCGTGACTCAATGAGACTACCTGTATAAATAAAGGTTAAAAAAACCAAATAAATCTGACCGATTACCAAACGGGTCACTGTGGACCAATGAAACGAGGAGGGGGAACTTGTGCCCCTCTCTGGGGTCACAACAAAGTATTCGCAGCCACTCAATATTGGTGTGAATTGTGTATTAACGTGACACTCGAAGCTCGGTGGGAGGCTTGGATGACTGGTGGCAAGAAATCATTTACCAAAACTGGCAACCTGCAAAGAGCAACTCCAGTCTGTCAGTGGATGCTGCCAGAGAAGCAGTTTTTCAAAAAATCCTCTGCAGGAGGAAGATGAAGATAGCCATCAATGGCTTGGTATGCTACTGAATATATATATAGATATATATCTATATGTATATTACCAGCCTTATTACTGGCACTGTTTAAAAAAATATATAATACTGTGTATTTAATCAAAAGTTTAAAAAGTATTTGTGTAAATGTCTCATGTAACAACATGGTCACTTGTGGCATATACACAAAATTGTATATATATATATTTTTAATGTAGTGGGTGCAGCTTATATTTGGGTGTGCTCAATAGTTCAGAAATGGCTGTAATTACAGCTGCCTAGTTCCTTTCAAACCAGACTGATTCTCTAAATGATCCAACCCTGCTGCAACAACCTGCTTCTGAAGTTTTGTGGGTGCAGGTCAGAACACCGTCCATCGGTTCTCTGCCATCTTTCGAAGCAAAGGTCACAGTAGCTGCAGGCTAAGAAACGCCAGACGCCTCTCACATCATTAACGTCTTTCTGCTTTTCTTCAGGAAACTAAAATTTCCAAGGTAGATACAGTATGCACTTCGCCTGCTTTTACTTTATGCTACTTATTGAGCTTTTCTAACCCGGAACTTTTCACGTGGGAGGCAACGATCCCGACCCTAATGAAATAGTCCAAACCACCTTCACGGACTCGTTTGTAAAGTTGTAGCATCAGAACACACTGAGGAGGAGCCGAGCCACTCTGCAGAAGAAGCTCTTAGCTCTGGGTTTTGGTTGGAAGTTAGATTGACTGAAATGAGATTGAATTAGATTGTAATTTGCTGCCTCTTCAGCAACGCTCCGACACAGCCCATGCATCACTGCTGAGGCAACAAACCTCCCGCCTGTCGATCTTCAACTCGCTCTAAGCGCTTTCATCTGTTGCTCAAGTTTCTAGTCCGTTGGGCGTTTTGTTTCGTGCCACACTCAAATCAATTTGTTGTGTGCTGCAACATCTAATGAACGCTTTAGCGCGGGATTACTTTTCATACTGTCAATGGGTTTACCAAAAAAAAAAAAAAAAAGATCATTATTTAATTGAAAATGTCTGTTTAGAACAAAAACAGAAAGCAGGTCCCAGAAAAGCTTGATGATATTATGTTTGGAATTTGAAAACAAAGCAAATTTTCCATCACGGTGCTGACGCTTGTGAAAAAACTGAAATATTAAACTTTGTTGTGTGCTTTAAGAGTTCCTCTGCTGCGTGTTTCAGCAGGATTAGTCCAGGATACACCTAATTGCTATTGATTGCTATGTGCTGCCTAAAATTGCTTCCCTTTTCTTGTCCACGGTGGGAGGTGAGAGAAGGTAATTAGCAGTGTGGACGAGATAGAAGCCCGGACTGACTTGTAATGAAATGGAATGGAAGAATGAACTTGTGAGTAATGCCCTTGAACCCAGAATGCATTACAAAACCATTAAGCACTAGCATTGTTCTATTCTTTTGCTCATATGACCGGAGAATATCGCACTTTTATTTATTCTAAAGCCATCTGCCTATGAACACATTACCTGAAGTTTTGTTTTTTCCCATTTGAACTGTTTGTTGTTTTTATCACAAAGAGAAGTCGATGAGGTTTGTCCATCAGACTGAACTCTCACCTCCTTTCCATGAAAAGCTGTGTTTTGTAAAGTGAAGAGACGCTCAGTTGATGTTACTGTGGTGTTTTTATTCCACGGTGAAGAGGCAGTTCGGAGCTTTTTAAGTGGGGTTATGTGGTAATGTCATAAGCAATCAACATCTTACCTGCTTTAGATAACACCTTGACCTCAGTTTGGAAAACAGCTTAATTCTAAATATAATTACAGGGTAAATAGATTTAGCAGAGCCAAGGTAATAGAGGAGAGCTGCTGTATTAAAACATCTTTAATTGAAGTTTTTTTTTATTTTTTTATTTAGTGATTCATGTGAACATTGTTTTTTAAACATTTTAACCTTTGCAATTGTCACATTATATGTGGCTAAATAAAATAGACATTTTTACCTGGATTATTGAGCATGAACTTTGATGTTTTGATCCAATGTGCCCATGGCTGCCTCAGAGGAGGCAACGGGGGAGAGGGTGGGCCCCAGAAACCATCTTATCACCAGCAAACTGGTTGGTCCACTATAGGAATGTGCAGCTTGTGGGACTGAGTTTGTTTGTGGCTTCTTGGAGTCCTTTGGATGAAGGACGAAACGTCTCAACAACAACAAACAAACAAAAAGAAATGATCCAGATGAAGTGACTGAACTTTGTTGGGTCACATTATATGATGATTCCTACAGATATAATATAATATTCCTGCCAGAAGCAACCCATACCAAAAGGCTATAGCTAGCTGCTCATGCCAATATTTGTTCTATAATGACCATGTAATAAACTAATAATCTAATGTAAAGGTTAATAAAATATTTGAGTGAGCCACTATAACATCTTTGAGATTGGAGTTGTTTTAGGAATTAGGCAACCTTCAGCATGGCCCCGTCTAGACTTGGCTCATCACTCATCTCATAATTAATTTTTTAGATTGAGTAAATTATATATTTTTATTTTAAATTTCCATAAAATCCAACTTTAAAAGCACTAAATCATTGCTTTAAGCATTCTGAGGTCTAAACAGGGTTATGTTCTCCATATTAAACAGGTCTAACACACACAAAAAGGTAATCCACAGTCTCTCCATGTAAAACCATTTTTTGTCAAAATGAATAATACGCATTTGTTATTTCTGTTGTCATATTTTTTTTTTTTACTCCACCTTAGATTTCAGAATACACATTTTACATTTGAAGATATTTACATATAAACAACATGTGGAGCACCAAGGGGAATTTTAGACATTATTGAGATTGAACGTAAAGGAGTAAGAATTTATATACAAGCAAATATATTCATAATAATTTTGGACATAAATCAAACGTAAAAACTCCTTGGTGCTCCCAATAATAAAATAATACAATTGATTGTTTAATAACAGTGTTTTAATCTTTCTTTACCACGTCTGTGTTGGTTTTCAGGCACACGTTATGTAACAGTTTTGTTGCAAAAACAAAAAAAAGAAACTATAAGAGTGCGAAATAAAACAATCTTTTATCGTTTCCAGCTACAGTAAGTCGGTGTCTCATGGAAAAAGTGAGTGATGGGTGAAGCTGTACAAAAGCCCATGTACAAGCTTGTGTTTCCATGATGGGGGGGGGGGGGGGGGGATTGAATAATCTGGACATTCACAAACACAAAAAGAGAAAAAGAAATTTCTTGGCAGAAAGTTAACAGAGATAGACTGCATGGCTGATCTTTCACAAATTTGCAAGGTGAAATGTAATTTTCTCAGGTTTGCTCGGGGACAGTGGAAAACAGACGTGTGCTGCATCAGCTGATATATTTTTTTAAGGCAGCCTCTTTTGTCCTGCCTACGGTTGCATGTTCATTTTTGTTTCGTTTAAGCAGAAAATGGACTTAACGTTCAGAGCAGCACGTGCAGTAGTAGAGCAGACCTGCTGCGTTGCTGCATCTCATCTGCTGCGGTGAAACCGAAAAGTCTCTGGCATCAACTTTACAGCCAATTTTCAATATACGATTTGCTGTTGCATTTGCTCTCTGGGAGCGGCGCAGATAGCAACTCAGCTCTGATGCGTGGAGGAACATTTAATGTGAGCCTCGTTCTGTTGACAGCCACTCCACCCTATGAAAGCAGCTCCCGAAGTCGGGAAAATTGGAAGCCATTGTTCACACAGTTTAGTTTGCTAAACAGTGCACTTCAGAAACAGGAAGTGCATGTCTGACAACGATCAGTACAAAGTCACGTTGCTGTAAGGCTCAACGAGCTTTGGCTTGCAAATCACATCTGCCACTTTTGTATCAGTTTTCCTTTTTTTAATTTTTTTACTTCTATCAAATGTCAGTGTGTTTTTAGATCAAGTCTTTTGAGCTTCAGCTGTGAATGAACTCTACTTGTCCTTGTACTTATGTTGAACCCACTAGCTGTTTTTATTCTTCAATGTCTTCAGATAAAACAGTGAATATGGTAGTTTTGGGGCAGTGCATGACAGTAGAGAATCGCAGAGAAGTGAAAAACTTAAAGCAGTCTGGGTTATTTATTCTGAGCGATGCCAAAGGCCATGCTTTGTGAATCTTATCTGAAACGGCAGCAATAAGGCATCTGTGGTGGCAACGTTGCCTTTGAGTCCTGTCAACTCCTGTTGTGACCCCTCTATAAAGCAATTTCCCCCCATTCTTCTGTAAACATGTGCAAGTTGAATAATTATGTGGCATTTAAAGTAATTATGATGCATGGATCTCCTTTAAGAATGCCAGAATGTCGGGAGCACCAAGGCCGTGACTGATAAACCACATTTGTGTCAGTTTTGTTTTATGAGCATGCAGACCTCGCACCAGATAAATTAGGTCTGTCTTTGCACCCTGAAAGATACTAAATCACTGAAGCTAGACAGTAAAAATGACAAACTCTATTGTAGCTCTTAAAACCAACTTTGCTAAATCTCTTTCCCCGTTTTGTTTATTTCTTCATTGCAGATATGTTTGCTATGCGATAGATTCAGACTATGAGTTCTTTCTAAAATTAGTTTTAGTGCTTTTTAAGGTAATGTACCTTTTTAGCCGTTGGTCTTTAATCCTACGTTCATTTCTGTCTTATTACAGAATGCTAGAAGCTGCTATTAAGCAGCTCATCCATCATTGCACAGGAATAGGGTCTAAAAGGTTAACGGAAACAGATTTTCTAGAAATGAAAAAAAAAGTTTTTAAAATGTTCTGGTGATGAATGGCACAAGCTAACAGAAATTCACCATTGAATTAATGACTAGTATTTATCATCTCAAAATGTTCCTGTTTATGGGGCCTAGGTGGCTGCTTTTTCTTTCAGACTAGACCACTTGTCAGCCACTCTGGTCTGAAAAAAATGTCAAAGCAATACATTAAACTCTGTGTGTTACAGCCTCAACCATTTTAGTGACACCACTTTAGTGGAAACACTCTTACATTTTCTAGAAAAAGGGTCAATTTAAACTTTAGTTTTTACATATGCTGCAGTAAAGGTGGTAGCTTTGTATCTATCAAGGCTTATATATGAGGTTTAAAGTGCCTCAGTGGGTGCAGAGTGACAAACTGGGCCCGAACCAGTGGATGAATGCCGTGTATGGTTCTTAACATGGATGTTACACTCGTGAATGCTGCCTAAACACATTACGCCATATGCAGATCCCTTCCTTTTGTCTGCTGGTTTCTTGCTGAATGTGCCCAGCATGCAGGCTGCGCCAAGCACCCAGCTGGATGATTTATCACAGAATACTCCTGATTAAGGAAAATGAAAGTGGGCTGCTCTTGGCTCACTAACTGCTTTGATAACAATTTCAAGCAGTTAGTTAGTGGGGGGTATTTGGGAGGATATGGACCTAAGAGGAAAAACAATAAAACCAATTGGTCTGGAAGAGGTTGCAAAGAGTTCTTTTGATGTAGTTCCTGCTCGTTCAATAGGTGCAGTGGCTGCCAACTTAGTTGCTCTACAGCTAAACATAGTATACTAACTTTTTTCTCTTTGTACTGCTGGTATAGTGACAAAAAATGGTTTGGAGTGAAATAAAGGTAAAACATGTAGAGGTAAGCAATCACCGATTAAAAAGTCTTGTGAAGACATACATTAATGTGCATTTTGTAAACAGGCTTTTAGAGTGATTTGAAACTCAAGTTCATCTGCAATGTCAGTCGTAGCACAAGCAGAAAAAAAGTGCAGTAAAGTGTGCTTTCTGTTTGTTCCTGCTTCGTCTTTTCCTGCTGTTGGAACTTTACAACACCTCTGTGGTTGTGACAGACATCTACAACAAGCTGATGACATACTTACAGAAATTGACATGGGCAATTGAACATTGCCAGTGGTTAGGAAAGATTTCAAGGAGCTTAGAAACTTTGAGAGCGAAAGCACCAAGTCAACTTCTGAAAATATATAGGGCAAGTACAACTGCAGGGTGGAAACAGCCATGAGACAAGTTCCATTTTCTTCTCAGTGGCTAAATTTGTATCTGTGTGAAGCTTAACAGAACATATCTTCGATTCTACGCCGTCTGTTTTTTGTGATCCTTTTATTTTTTTTTTTGTAAGAATTGTGCTCCTGCCCTGTCAATCATACAAAATGGTGCAGTAGGCAGAGCCTTGCCTGAGCTTATCCACCGTCCGCAATGGAGTCTCTCTATGACAACGACTGGCCGTTGAGGCACTCCCGCCGCAAGCACTGCGCTGGCTTCCACCAGTCTCCGTTGTGGCAGCGGCAGATGGTGCAGTCGTCCACCTTTACTTCAATCCCAGCTGGGATAATCGTTGTTCCAGCAAAGCAATTTGGACCTGACACATGGGAAGCGAAGAAAGAAAGGTAGAGAGATGGTTAAAAAGGAGTGACAACAACAAGAAAAGGATGCATCTCCCCAGAGAGCTTCTCTTTTGCAGCGGGGTTGCGGAGTGATCCGGGGAGTCAGCGCAGACGCACAGATCTTTTCACAGGCATGCACCGATGGGCTTGTTTTTGCAACACTAAAGCGCTTTTGTTAGTCTCCCCTTCTCCCTCGACATGGAGCGCTTTGCATCCTAATGCACCGTGAGCAGAGAAGCCTGCCAGGCACTGGCTTGGCAGTACAGAGAGGCTGGAGTGCAGAGAGACAGAGGAAGCGGCAGAAAGCTGCTTTGGGAGGACATAGGGAGGGTGGTGTTATTCGCTTCACTTCTGTAAGGAAAGGCCACCGGACTCCTTATAGTTTCTTCCCAAGCACTAATTTCTATAACCAATAAAGTGTTCAGAATAAATTTGACATTTGATTAGTCCTCAAAGCCTGGTAGGATTCATCTCTGCGAATTCCTGTTTGTTGGGAGGAACTCTATAATGTGTTTGTGTACCACTAAAACACAAAACATGTATTTGAATGTTTCAGTAGGTAGAGATGCAGATTTGAGGGCGTGCATCGCTTCCTGCGACCTCTTGAGACACAAGAGCCAGAAGGTGCAGGGAATTCTCCTAGTTTTGTTCATTTAAATTAAGCAATCAGCAGCTCAATTTGCTGTGAGGATGACACAGGATTGCTCTCACTTTTCAGCTCAGTAAAACCTGCCAGATTCAAGACTCCTCTATGACCTCTTATAAAAACCCATATGTGCCATAATTCTTGAAGACAGAGCAGCTTCCACGGCCAGTACTCGTAGACATTTTGGCGCCCCTATAAAACTGATTTAGTGTGAGATAGCTTAGTGTGGGATGTGTAAATGGCACTCAATCTGAAAATATTTGCAATACATTTTATATACTGACCGACTGGATCCCATCACTCAGTTAAAATTTAGGCTTTTTCCACAAAAGAGCGTATGTGTCAAGAGCTGCATTTGGCTAGATGATGAAGGATTTCACTTAAAATGATTTGAATTTATAAATAACTACACAAACAAGATAACTAGGCTATATCTTAAACCTTTGTTAAAGCATAGATATCTCAATCTTTTATTTGTACCTGATTGAAAACTTTTTGTTTAATTATTTTAATGTGAGCTCAGAGGAGACCAGAAAAGTCTAGCCAATTCTTAGTTCTCATAGATCAGCTTGTGGACAGCTGGCACAGGTTACAAGACAAACTCAGAAGGGATGGAAAATGGACGAGTGTGACCAGTGCTGCTGCCAAGTGTTGACTTTTACAGCCAGATATGTTTGGAGACACAAGGACATTGTTTCAGCTTCCTGTCACCGCAGAAATGATGCACAATCACTGTTCCAAAACTGTTACTGGATACTGGCATTTTGTGGTGGGAGGTGACTGTTGGTGTTTTAGAAGTTCCCTACCATGTTTGTCTTTACCTCTTGAAAAAATTAAAACTGATCTATGAAAATTATGTCATTTATGCGCTGAAAATAGACTTATATCCACAAACTACATGTTTTCAAGAACATTAATAATCTTCAATGTATAATTTATAATAGAAATTTGAGCTGAGCGTGGTGAATGTGAAGCTCAAATATAAACATTTCCACTGGTGGGCTCTTTTGTTGTGTTTTGCACTTTGTTGGTGTTTTCACAGAAAAAAATCTATATCTTAAAAACAGAACTTTGAGGCGAGATGTTGAAACCCCAGAAGCATAAGTCTATTAATTTGCAAATTTAGGGAAACCAAAAACCTTAAGATAGTAGAATATTAACTAAGCTAAATGTAGATGAAAGCTTTTTCAGATGTCAATGTACTTGGACATATATGTATAGTCATATAAAGTTTTAAAAATACATGTTGCACCATATGAACCCCATTAGACTCAAGTATTATTGAGTCAACGATTAGTTGGAACCTATTAGTTAATTTCTTCAGCAGTACTGAATGCCATTAACTACATGGACAAAACGTTTCTTTATTAATTTCAGACATAATTTATCCAGATCTTGTTTTTTTGTTTAAAAACAGTAATTGCACTATAAAGGTGCAACTGAATATAATTCAAGTAAGTTTTTTTTCTCTAAATTTGGTTCCTTGTTTTTGTTTCAATACTGTGTAACAATAATAACTCTGTTGGATTAGAGCAATCCAAAAAGGTAAGCTCATTCTACATCCCCGAATCAATACAGTCACATAAAATCTAGTGTGACGCATGATCTCGATATATATTTGAGTCTGTCGAATGGTCGATAAGCTGTTTTTTGCCTCGCACATTGTATTCGCCACTCTAAGAGCTTATTTATGGTGGCTGCACTCTACATCACTGAAATCAAAGGATGCAGCTTCCAGCTTCCTAGTGTGAGCTACAGTTTTTACACACCAAGTATATTTGAACAGATACAGCTGAAAGAAACAAACAAAAACTATGCAAGTACTTCCTGTATGAGAAAATACCCACATTGACTTTCTGTACCATGAAAACATGCCAGCTACTGAGCGACTTGTTACATATAATCCTAAAAATTACTGTCCCATTTAAAACAAATCTTTAGCTTTAAATGTATAGGACATAAAAATCAACATGTATATTACTATTTATATGTGTTCTCTACTTTCTAGTTTAATTCAAATGAAACAGTAGATTGGTTAAAATCATAGTGCTCGCAGTGTTTTACTAGCTGATTATTTTATAAAAGAAAAAATGTCTGGACTTTTGTTTTTGTTTGTTTTGTTTGAAGACATTTTTCTTTAAATTTTGAAGAACTTTGTCAATGTAAACTGAACAGTGCAGAATTTCAAGCTTTAAAACTGAGGTGAGTTGCTCCATTTATGTGAGTTAAACTCGTATGCAAACCCCTCTATCTCCCCTCACAGCTGAGGGTCATTAGGTCGTTGTTGGCCTGGTGCCCATAAAATATGTTTTTGTCATACGCATAAAGGTGCAGATTGTTATGAAACTAACTGTAGATTACACTGAAAACAGCATTATACATTCTGAAAAGTGTACTCTCCTTCACTGTTTATTATTTTCCTTCTTCTTAGGTTGTTTTCACACCTGATAGTCTGGTTCGGTTCAGTTGGGTACCAATGTTCAGAACATCTGTTTACATTTCAGCTGGTGCAGTTTGCATTCACACTGTACTGAGTCAGTCAAACCAACCTGTTCCCCCCCTCGCCTGTGGTGGCGCTGCACCAAGAACTACTGAAGGAAACAACACAAAAACCTCTCAAGAGTACACTTCTTCTTCTTCTGGAAATGAAAACAAAAATGGAGTGGCATCACATTTTAGCGGTTTTACGATTTCTGTTTTGTCATTTTTTCAACAATGGACTCAGCATAAGCAGAAGATGAGGCAGAAGACCATGAAGAATGTGGTTTTTCACACAAGGAGGCTGACGGCTTTGTATGAGGTAAGAGAAATGCACACTTGTTTGCCCTGCGCTGTAGACCACGTCCTGCTTTTGGAGCGGTCTCCAGTCTTCTTGCATTCACACTGCATTCGAAGTGTGCCAGAGTTCACATCAACTTAACCGAAACCTAGGTATTTAGGCACTTTTTTGGTCCGTATCTGAGTTTGATTGTGCATTCACACCTCCCCAAATGAACTGGACTTTCTAGGCAGAGCTTGATTAAAGCAGAATAAACAGGGCTGGTGTGAATGCACCCTTATAGATAGCTTTATGTCCTCTTTCAAATCACCCATTTTAAATCATGGAACTTACACTTTTTTATGGTGGTTCTTAAAGAATAAGTTTGCAATCTTACTAAAGAGTTTTTTTTTCTTTAAGTGTTGCTGTTTTGTACTCATTATCATAGTCACTGAAAAAAATGAACAAGAGGAAGACAAAAAGTATCAAAACCTAAATAAACTCTTTATAAAACATCTGGAATTGGTTTTCTTCAGGAAAAACTAAAACACCGAACCAAGACTTGACACAGATCGAGTATTTTTGAATCACTTTGCTGGCAAAGAATCCGAACAAATTGCCTTGTTGAGACAAAGGCCTGATTAGAAGGGTTAAAAAAGCCAATTGAAACATTTCTCCTAAGTTTTGTGTCCTTTGTTCATGGAACATTGGTAACCTCCTTAGTTTAGGTTTTGTTTTTAATGCTTGAATGATTTATTGATCAGTGTTAGTTGACCTAATTTCCAAAGCACCCATATATTTTCTAATGGTAAGACAAGGACTGGATTGGCAATGCATTTAAAAAAGCAGCCATGAAGAATGCAGTAATTAATCAAGACCACAAAAAAACACAACAAAACTTTTTCTTCAATCATGTTCTCATTTGCAACAAAAAGTACTTTGATGGTTAGATTGACCAAAACACATTTGGTTATCTTCTTTCCTATCTACTTTGATGCCCTAGACAGAAACGAATATTAAACATAGTACCATCTTTGTCCTGGCTTCCCAGTCTTAAGGCATCCACTCGCACATAGATTTATGTCTGTCCCAAAGTCTAACCAGAGACCCTTGGGGCGCCTAGAAGCAGCAGGCTTTCCCTGAAATGCCAAGGGTGTCATTGGGTCCTGTCAGACAGAATTAGATCTATTCAGGCAGCTTCTGCAGCCGTGTTAGTGTAGGTGTTTTTTTGTGTGAGCATGTCTTGAAATGAAAGCAGGTATGCATGAAAGAAAACATGAAACAGAAACTTAGGAACTTGGTGTTGAAATGAGCATTAAGGCTGGTGGATAGTCACCATAAAACCCAACTTTGAAAGATATTTAGTGAAATACACATACAGATTTTTTTTTTTTTAATAAATATTTTTAACAAGAGGCAGCACGGTGGCGCAACTGGTAGAGCTGCTGCCTCTCAGCGAGCAGGTCCCTGGTTCAAACCCCGGTCCAGGGGCCTTTCTGGGTGGAGTTTGCATGTTCTCTCCGTGCATTCGTGGGTTTTCTCCGGGTACTCCGGTTTCCTCCCACAGTCCAAAAACATGCATGTTAGGCTGATTGGTAACTCTAAATTGTCCCTAGGTGTGAGTGAGAGAGTGAATGTTTGTTTGTCTCTATGTGGCCCTGTGATGGACTTGCGACCCGTCCAGGGTGTACCCCGCCCCTCGCACAGTGATTGCTGGACATGGGCACCAGCGACACCCGTGACCCAAAATGGAATAAGCGGGTAAAGAAAACGGATGGATGGATGGATTTTTAACAAGAGTGACGTACACCATAGCAAGGAAGCAACACAATTTGAAAAGTTATCAGGTTCTTCTTTGAGCACTACAAGTGTGTTTAGGAATGCATCAATGTTCTTAAGCTATGAATTTGATATTACCCAAAGCGCTCTTTCCAACTGATCATTCTAGATGGATCATATTGCAGAGATGCAGGTATTCCACTTTACTTATAAAGCTAAATCTGTCCCCCAGGACTGCTACTTGCAAAGGGAAGCCACCCATCTCACCTTGCAAATAGTCAATGAACCATTGGAATACTATAATTCTAATTTAGGGATTGGTTGTGTGTGACAAGGGCACCGGGGCACTTGAAGATAAAAAGCCCTCTAAGGACCCATTACTTCTTCCTCCCATGTCTTTAATCAATGGGCTAATGTTTACTCTGCTTAGTGTGTCATTTATAATTAAAACTAGTACTGCTCATTAGCGTCTAACGGGCCAAATGTAATCATTTTAATACCTAAAACATTAATTACATCCCCATCTTTCAAAGAAACAAACATCAAATCAACAACATTTCTGTCAATGGTTTAATAAAATGGTAATCACTCTGAAAGAATTACACATTGAATTCCAAAGGAAATGAGTGCTTACCGTTTTTACAGATGGGGCAGCACTGCTCCGGTTCATACACAGGGTTGACACACTCTGGGACGGCGCAGTCTGACACCACACAGTGTACTTCATTATTTGGTTCGCAGCGGCACCATTCACAGGGCGACGGCTGTGGACAGAAAAGGGAGGAGAGACCGAGAATCTGGGTCAGATGATTCACTTGGTTTCACCTGAATGTGTCGAACAACTGAAAGAAACAGTTGACAGGAATGTGTCCTAAATTGTCCTCCACATGAGAAAGTTAAGTCTTGCTTAACACAGAACATAGTAAATAATTTACAACCCCAACATTATTAAAGCGCTTGTTTTTTAACAACCGTTAAGTAGATTTGGATGAAGCTTGCACTCTGAAAAGAACCTCCAATGGAAGTCTTTAAAGCGTTACTAATATTTTCCATTTGCTGTATTCTGCATTAAACTGCCTCGGGAAACTGTTCAAAGTCTTATCTTACCACCTCTGCAACATGTAAATCAGTGCTGTGCTGCTGCCTGTTTCTTGACTTTATCTTTCTGAAGTCACTTGACCAGAAAATGAACTGTAATGCAATTACACTGGGTGGAAAAATACAAACTGTCTCCAAGTCTCTAAAGGTCAGCTGTTCATCATAATATATTTTATTTCTGTTCATTGTGGTTAAAAGCTTTTTGAGGGCATCCCAACACAAGGCTTGCACTATCAGGATCTCAATGCTTCTAAGAGTGCAGATACTTTTTTTTTTTTGTAGGTAAGTTAGTTTATAATGAGCATGTTGAAGGATTAAAAAGCTTTTCAATGAAACAATAAGCTATTTTGAATTTCAACAATAACATCTTTAGGGTAGCTAATAATCTGCTGTTTGTCTGGATCAGCTGAGTTCAGCTGGTGTCTGTCTTGGTTATACAGATGTTGGACCCAAGGATGCCGACTGACACAAAAAGCTTGAGGAGATAATCTTTAACTTTTTGTTTAAAACAAAAATAAAAAGCTTACGTGCCAACAAAAGTCACACAACGATGAGAGTGTGGCAAATGAGGGTGGAGGTAGGTGTGGGTGCTTCACCTTTTCCACCCACATTTATATGTTGTCCGTCCAGAGAGTCGAGCCGGCAACCTTTCGATCACAAGCTCGCCTCTACTAACATCTGCGCCACGATTCCCTAATAACGTGCCTCCAAATCAACCTTGGTTGGATTATTACACAAAGCAGGTAGATCTACAATCAACTGAATTTCAAGACAGGGCCTTCTCCTACTCGGCTCCTGTTTCCTGGAATATCATGCAAAAAGACCTGAAGTTCTCAAGCTTGACCTCTCTAAGTGGCTTCAAACATCTGCTAAGTTCATGGCAAAAACCAATGCAGACATATCCTGATGCATGCTCAATAATCCAGGTAGAAAAATCCAAAAAAGTTCAATCTGGTCCTCTGGACAATGCAGACATGTTCTTGTTTTTAGTTTTCTACACCACCCTACAGTCTAGCTGTTTTTTTTTGTTGTTGTTGTTGTTACATTTTCTTTTAAACACCATTTTATTTTCATTTGTTAAAAAAAAAAAAAAACTCAACTTGTTCGCATCCTTTACGATCGTCTATTATTGTATTTGTTGTCATCACTCTTTGTTAAAATCAGGTCGCTCTTATAAATGAGTCCCCGAGGCTCAATGGGATTAACCTGTATAAATAAAGGTTGAATTAATCTACAATCAGCTGAATTTCAAGACGGTAAAATTGCAAGTTTTTTTTTTTTTTTCTTAATGACTCAATCTGCAGCAGCAAACATCTGTTAAAACTATTTACTGTTTTTTGGAACACAATTAGTTCTAATCCGTGCAATAATTCAACCAAATTACAACTTGTAAGAATTTATTCACGTTTGAGCGTAAATGCAAATTTTAGATCAATAACCAAACAAGCCTGTATAAAAATGTTGGTGTCAGGGCACACGGAAATCAAAGTTTGAGTAGTTTAGCTCAAATTATAGTAAGCAAGTGCTACAGTATGTGTTGCCATCATTGTACGTTCCCATACAATGGTGAAATTAGCTCTCTGCATTTAACCCATCACACCCGAGATACACCCAGGTGGAGCAGTGGGCAGCTTTGTTTAAAGACACCACGATATGGGAATGGTTGGGAGTCGAACCACTACTTTCTTGTCCCAAGTCGGCTGCACTACCTCTACCCCATCTCGTCCCCTTATAAAATCCTTTTTAGAAATAAAGACAAATATAAAGATGTACAGTACAATACACTGCCCTTAGAGCTACAATACTGATGCTATATAAAAGTGAGATTCTCTGGGTGTCACTTCTTTGCAGTGTGCCATGTCTCCAACGTGCTGCATGTTCTCTATTGCCAGGAAATGGTGTCTGTGATCGTCTGGATCCAGCACTGACAACAGTTAACGCCTGTGTCGCCACAGACCAATTTTATGGCTTGAAGGAGTTCTTTTTTTTCTTTTTTATATTGGACTGTCAGTCATAGACATTACACTAGAATGTAAAAGAAAAAAAAAATCTCTGCTGGATTGAGGAAAAGGAAAAAAATGGCTGAAAACAGACTTGGCTGGTGTTCAATTTCTGTATTATTAAATCTCCTTCTCTCCTCAGTTAAATTAAACCAAGCTTAAACCACAAAAGTATAAATCAAATTTAAGTATGCGCTTTAGTTTTTTTAGAAAAACATGCTTTCATACTGCTAATGTTGCACCCTGTCTTATTTATAGCACATAGTGTTGAAAGCATCTGCTTAAGATGGAAACACTTCTAATTAACATACTGCCATGAACAACATTTTTCTTGTTTGATTGCATCTAAAAATACATTTCAGTGGTTTAGAGCCCTTTGATTTCAAGCTCAGTCACATGCTCTTTCTGAATTAGTTTTCCAGGTAATCATTTCCAAAAGTCTGGTCGATTTTGAGTCATTAAGTGTATTCTGCAACATCTGTGCTCTAAAAGTATTTTACATCTGCAACCTTTGGTCACCATTGCACAAGTCCACCAGAGAGCAAATTGTGTTTACTATAAATAAGCGAAAATATATTTGCAAAAAAAGAAGATGAAGATGATATGTCATGAAAATTGCACATGGAGAGCCTAGAGTTTGAAAAGTGGGTTTAGGACACAAGTAGATGGTTTAAAGAAATGAGATTTAGTGTTGTAGGATAACAAGAAAAATAAAAAAATAATAATATAACTAATGCTTTCTGGTGATAATTCTTACAGCTCTTTTCTGTAAAATAAAAATAGGTTTTGTAAATGTTTTACACGCTTTCCCCCAAACATCAATGCAATAGATTAAATGTGGAACAATGATTGTGTTATACAACATGTACAGAGCTTTATCATTTAATAATTCCCTGATTTGTATAGTACTGCAATAGATTTGGCTATTTTTGTTCTTACAGAATTTATGTGATTTTTCCATGTTAGCTGTTCATCAATGATTACACCCAAAAATTTCATCTCATTAACTCTACAAATCTCAACACCCTCAATTTTAAATGGATCATCAACAGTTCTCTTTTTGTTACTAAATATCATGTATTTAGTTTTATCTAAATTTAATGATAATTTATTAAGTTTAAACCAAGTTTGTATTTTATCAAATTCTGTCTTCATCAAGTCCAACATCCGTTTTACATCTTTACCCAAACAAAAAATGTGTGTCATCTGCAAAAATGACACATTTGAGGAGTCCTGATACATTCACTAAGTCATTCACATATAAAATAAATAACTCTGGTCCAAGTACAGAGCCTTGAGGAACTCCACAAGTGATATTGCACAGGTCAGATCTTACACCATTTATTTGTACAAACTGTTTCCTATCTTTTAAATAGCTAGATACCCAGTGTAATGCTGGTCCTCTTATACCATATTTATTTAATTTTTCAAGGAGAATAGTGTGGTCAATAGTATCGAAAGCTTTTTTTAAATCAACAAAAATACTAACACAATACTGTTTTTGATCGACAGCAGTAGTTATTTGTTCTATTAATTCCATGAGAGCCATTGATGTAGAGTTTTTTGCTCTAAACCCATACTGACTGCTACTTAGAATGTTTTGTTTAGTAATTTATCTAATCTGGTCACAAACAGTTTTTCTAGAATTTTTGAGAACTGTGGTAATAAGGATATTGGTCTATAATTATTGAACACACATTTAGTTTCATAAAGAAATATAATCTAAAGTGATTATATTAAAGGTAAATCGCATTTCTTTATTCCTTACTATAATAAAATTCACAGACGGTGGAGATAGAATGAATGAACAAAATTGAGATTTACCAACACAGACTCTCAAATCATCTGAACAAGTGGATGGCAATATGTGCACACTTGATTCTATTAAAGTACTATACATTTAAATTATGCTTGAAATTATATTTCTGTATTTAACTTAGAAGAAAATTGTAATCCTAGCCATGGAAGCACCCACATCAACATATTATATATATATATATATATATATATATATATTCATTCTGACACAGGGTCAGTGTAGTTTTGCAGTTTAGTTCAGCCTAAACATTGTGCAGACCTTGAACAAATCACAACTCTATCATTCCTAACAGAAACAATGCATTGGATGTGATGTTCACTTAATCCAGAAACAAAGAGTAAAACAACACCCACCCCCCTCCC